AAAAAAAAAAAAAAAAACGAGAAAATTTTAATTTATTCGGGAGAGCGAGAGAATCACGCGAATTCCAGTAGTCTTCCCTAAAAATCCAGTAGGGTTGCTGGAAAAAAACGGACTACTTTGAATAACTTTTGACACAATGATCGGATCTTCACGGTCAAGGACCCAAACACAATTTTAGAGAAGGTGACCTCGAATATACTAATTAGAGCAGACAATATTTTAAGTTACGAAATCAGACATAAAAACGCGCTTTCTCCGAATAAACATACCTTTTTTTCAACGGATTCGCGTTTTTGACACCCAAAATAAAAATATTTTTATTATTTTTAATTTTTGTAAATATTTGATATTTTTTATTATTTTATTAAATGATAGTTGAAAAGATTCTAAATAGTTAGATACATAATATCATACGTAATTTTGCAAAGCAAAATACAAAATTTAAAAGAAATTGGTAAAATAGTTCTTGAGAAATCTAAATAGTTTAAAAGGAGACCAATATTTATAATTTGATTTCTCAGGAACTATATTCAGCCCCGATTTCGCCCAAATGTTTTGACATGTAAAATTACAACCTTTAAAATGATGTAAAAATTGCATACCTTACAATTCAATTTCCGACTATTAATAAGTAAAGTTGAAAAATAAAACATTAAAAATTTACCAACATTTATATTTTACTAGGAATTATCCTTGGAAAAACGAATTTTATATTTGTGAGCAAATTTTTTTAAAATCGCTTAAAAAGTTTTTGAGACATGCGAAATATACAAAAAGTGAAATTAACATTAAAGGGTCCAAAATTTGGGTCGCTCTCCTGACCAAACTATCAGGACCATATTTCCTGGGCTGCGGCTATAATACGAATCCGTTAAAAAAAGGTATTTTATTTCAGAGAAAGTGCATTTTTATGTCTGATTTTGTAACTTAAAATATCGTCTGCAATAATTAATTAGCATATTTGAGAACACAGCCCTCAAACTGTTAAGTCAACTCAAAAAGTCAAGTTGGCGAAAATGAATTTTTAGCGCGCAAAAAAGCTTTTTTGAAAGTGTCCTCGTAGGAGCAAACATTGCAGGATAAAATCTTAAATTTCGTTGCAAAATATTAGTTACTTTTTAAAGTTAAGAAAAAGCTATTTTAGCCGTGATTTTTACTTTGGTTGCAATTTTTTTTTCCTGGTTAACGAGTTTTTCAAGGTTAATAATCATTTAAAGGGTTCAACGTTTCGAGGCAAAACTCCAACTTGAAGTTTCTAGCTCAAATATTAGTAACATTTGCCATAAAATAGTTAGTAACAATTTTTTTATAGTTTAACGTATGGATCAACGATGTATTAAAACAGATATAAATATGGAGACAGATATAAATATGGATAAATATGGAGACAGATATAAATATGGAGACAGATATAAATATGGATATAATTCAAACTTGTGGTTTTTATTGTTAGAAATTAGATAGAACTTATGCTTTTCAAGAAATGTTTTCGTTTTTTGGGGAAACAATTTTTAGGCGAATTCATATAAATATTAAAATTTCAAAGTTTGTGTTAGTTTTTCCTATATAAAAAATCCCTTGTAATTATACAAGTATTAAATCTAAAATAAATATTTCTTAAAATTTGATATAGCATACAATTGTTTTCAAACATTTATATTAAAATGAAATAAGATATATTCTTCACTAATTCAAAAATAACGAAGGAAAAGTTAACTATTTTGAGGCATTGTGAAATTGAATTCAGAAACTAACGTTTTCGTTTTTTTCTAAACCCACTGTACTTCTGTTCAAGCTGTAAATAAATTAAAGCTCTTAACTATTTGCAACTAGAACGGTCTACAGGTCTTAAAATGAGTGAATGTTGTAAAAATGAGCTAGTAGTAATTTTAAAATGCCGTAAACTAGCAAGAGTGTCTAAAAATGCAAAAAATGTCTGGTGATAGCTCAAGGGATAGAGCGTTCGCCTTTCAATGATGTGAACCGGATTCGAATCTCAACGATGGTTGGTCGATATAAGCTCCGCCTCCAGCTTGCTCCGACCACAGTGCTGACGTAAAATAGTCTCAGTGGTAGATCGCGTCTGGCTAACCGTGGGACGTTTTCGTTTCTTTACTTGTTATGTAATGCAAATGCAGGTTAGTTCCATCAAGAAGTCCTCTACGATGGCGAATTTCACTCAATACTTGATTTCGATCAATACTTCGTTCAATATATCCAATAGCGAATGCAATAATCATGGTAAAAATGTCATTAATAACAGCACTTGTTGAAAGAGCCATGGAAGCTCAGGGGATAGAGAGTTCACCTTCCAATGAGATGAACAGGGTTCGATTCCCAGTAATGGCTGGTGATACGAATTCCACACAAGGCTCACACCTGCCACAGTGCTGACGTGAAAAATCATCAGTGGTAGAGGAATCATGGGTTTGAGTCCCCTAGCCGTCAAGTTAACGGTGGGAGGTGTTCGTGGTTTTCTTCTCCATGTAAAACAAATAAGGGATAGTTCTATCAAAAAGACCTCCCACGACGACACATTTCTGCCAATACTCGATACAGGAGTTCCCTTGTCTTCTGTATTGGTTTCAAAATTTGAAGGCTACGGAATTGAACATCAGTTGTCGCAAATGCAAAATTGGGTCGTCTGCTCAACGACGGTTATAAAATAAAATAAAAATGCAAAGAAAAAGAACAAAAAATGCAGATGTCATCAAAATTTAGGCTTTACTCATCTATAATGTAAACTTTGTTAAAAACCAATATAGTTTATCGCTGACTGATGAGCAGTTTAAAAGACTGTAGACAATTTCAGATTCATCACTGTATATCCAAAATTAGCTCTTTGCAAACGAAAGATTTTGATGGGTTAAGGATTTTTAATAAAAGGGCGTACTAGTTTTAATCTCTAATAACATTAATCTTAATTTAGGAACGACGCTTAGATGTGAACAGTTTATATTAGACGGTTGTAGCAATCTTGAGCCATTAAGATTAAGTTTTAAAATGTGAAGATTTGATTATTAGATCACAAGTTATTCATGGTGGTATGCTTTTTTTTAAAAAAAAATTTATCTTAGAATTCTGAATTTTTCACGATAGTTAAACAAAAGTACAAAAATGATTTAAGTGCAAAGATTTTCGTGATACATCGATTTTTTAGAAATTATTTTTCTTTAGTTTTAAATGGGTTACAGTAGTTTTGCTGTAACTTATGATTTTTTTTTATACTTGGGTTAAATTGCTCAGGATATAACAGGTTATAACGCCTGTTTTTTTTTCTCAAAAAATCGAAACTTTTGTAAGGAAAAGGCCTCGCTATCCCATAAGGGTGCATGATAGATGTGTGGTAAACAAAACGTGCCTTCTTTTGAAGAACATGCAGAAAATTTAAGGATAACAGTAGAATTTCTTAGTTATGCAGAAGATAACTTAAACAGTGGTCACACACGCATTGCTTTATATGTTAAACGAGTCCCTATAACGGGTTACGTTTTAAGGCGAAATTCAATTTTGCATTTGTTTATTTCGCAGTTAAGCAAAAAATATATATTACTGAATATTATTTGGAAGATAGGTTTCACGGATTTTTTTGGTGGTATAACGATTTCTTACAGTAAACTTAACTTAAATTTGACGGCAGACAGTGTTATTGGTTGAATGGTTTATGGTGTTTCAGATTTTAAGAGGATAGGTTAGTTAAAACTTAATTTGACCATAACTCTTTTTGAGGGGTACGCTAACAATCATTTAATGATTACAGAGAAATCGAATTTTGAAAAGGTCATATTTTTAAAATTCGATTTTTTAATAAGTATTCGATCAATTTTGCTCAAAATTTGTATTTTGCAAGTAAAATTACATCCTTTAAAGTGGTGTAAAAAATTATATACTATACAATTCAAAACATTTCAGACTTATGTTAAATAAATTAGTATAAAATGCTAAATATTTACAAAAAGTTATTTTCGTAATGGATAGAACTGTATACAAGCTGTAACTGCGAAACCGAAACCGGTACGAGCTGTAACCGAACGAGCTGTAACCGAAAGGCGGCGAAATACGCAAAAAAGTATAATTAACATTAAGGTGCTGAAATTTCACCGCTCCCCTGATCAAAATATTAAGACCATATTTCGCAGGTTGTTGCCACCACATATATTTTGGAAAGCAGTAATCCAAATCCGTATAAAAAAAGAGGTATATTTATTAAGATAATACGTTTTTCTGTCTGATTTCGTAACTCAAAATCGTCTGCACTAATTAATTAACATATTTGAAGTCACCCCCTCGAACCATTAAGATTGGGTCCTAGAACGTGAAGATCCGATCATTAAATGAAAAGTTATTCAGAATGGTCCGTTTTCTTTATTGCCAACCTAAAGTATCTCACAGAAGAAATTTGACCTATAAATAAAAAAAAGTTATTTAAGATGTCCCCTCTAGCCTCATCTTCAACACTAACTCTTATCTCCTTTACTAATTTTTCATACAAACAGATTAGAAGCTAAAATTAGGTTTGAATTAGCAAATAATATGATAAATATTGCAAATCTTAAATAAAACAAGATAATTTTTAATTACATACTTTTTTTCATTTTATATTGTCGACACAAAGTGTTCTTCAAGGAAATAAAAAAGGGTACATTTATTTCTTAAAGAAAATATTATTTAGACGCTAACAGTAAATGCCTGTGTAGTAACCTGCACGTGGAGACTTTAAAATGTTGGTAAATCATACAGTAACTTCTGCTAGTAATACAAGGCTAACACTTACACGAAGAACATTATGTTATCAAAAAAAAAAATTCTTTTTAATAACACTCCAAATTACCGATTACTGGTCAAGTAGTTACTGTACTGGACTAAGGGGCCAGTGGCTATGGGTTCGAATATCATGGTAGGAATGGATGCAACTTTCTCTCTCCCTGTATTCTAATGTCCTTTCTTTTAAGTGATTTTATTTTATTTTATGACCGTCGTTGAACAGCTGACGAGCCAATTTTAGGTTACGACTATTAATGTTCTACTCCGTAACCTTGTAATTTCCAACCAATCCAGAAGACAAGGAGACTGCTAAATCAGTATCCCCAGAAGTATGGCTTGTTACGGGAACAGGAAGGACTTTGTGACTAGACAGATTTAACTTGCATCAGTCACCATTTACTACATGGGGAGTCGTCGGCCGGCGGGGATCGGACCAACGACCTCTTGGACATGGGTTCAGTGCCCTACCAACCAGGCTATCCGGTCCCTTCTTCTGAGTGATAGTGTGAATGTAACCAGCCGAGCCTCGATGGCTCAGGAAATAGCGCGATATCCAATGAGGGGAACCGGGTTCGAATCCTAGTCGATACGAATTCCGCATCGGGTTTGCACCAACCACAGTGCTAACGTGAAATATCCTCAGTGGTAGACGGATCATGGGTTAGAGTCCCCTTGCCGTCAGGCTAACCGTGGGAGGTTCTCGTGGTCTTCCTCTCCATGTAGCGCAAATGCTGGTCAGCTTCAGTAAAAAGTCCTCCACGAAGGCAAATTTCTCCCAATACTCGATCCAGGAGTTCCCTTGTCTTCTGGACTGGGTTCAAAATTACAAGGCTATGGAGTTAAACATTGGTAGTCGTAAACCCATAAAATTGGGTCGGCTGTTCAACGACGGTTATAAAATGTAACCAGCCCTGAAACGGGTTTGTGGTTCAATGACATGGACGTCAATACTCCACCGTCGAGGCTTAGCCACAGATGCTCAATGGGTAACGATAAGTGAGGAGCAATTCTGAGGTGAATAGGAAATAAATTTAAGTGCACGCCATTAAAAAAATGCTACAAATTAGATTATTTAAAGATTCTGAACGTTTCTATGGAAAATTTTGAAATAAAAAATATTTTTTTAAAGATTTATTTAAATATATATATTTACCTGTGATAGCTACTGATGTGCTTTCTGATAGCAAAAAGTGAGCATGACAGAGTCAACCACCTCATTCACTCGATAAAAACACACTGAGAAGGACAAATATTGTCATCTTTCCCCTCCAACTGCAACAACCATTTCTCCTGCAAGAGACATCGTTTTTCTGTTACAAATTTTCCCATATCAAAATTTTTGATGGTGACATTAAATTTTTTTGATAGTTTCAGTGTGATTCATGATGGTCCAACATCATTTGATGGTCACCATCATCAAAGATTTTCCATTACATGTTCACGGTTTTTGATATACCTACTAACTTCCATCATTCCATGATGGAAAATAATACTTTAATACTATGACGGTTAACTATCAAGAGAAGTTCGACTCTCATGGATCAGCAACCCATGATGGTTTCAACTATACATTTTCTCGATGGGCTAATGGGAATTCTTGTTGGTTCTCAGGAAAATACCATCAAAACAATTTGGGTTTTTTACTTTGGACCATCATAAATCTGTCCGAATTCCTACATTTAGGTGATAGTTGTTCATGATCGTTCCAACATTTGATTTCTAAGATACTGTGATGGAAATTAGGAGAGCTCAAAAGGAACAAACCACGAGAACAAATTGCTATTCTTATGTTGAAACATCATAAATCAGTTCGAATTCCTAGATTGAAGTGATATTTACTTTTGTTGGTTACTATCAAAAAATATAATGTTTCATGATAGAATTATTGATGGTTACCATCAAGATTATGTTGTTCCATCAATGGAAAACCATCAAAAATTTTGACTTGTGTAGAGCAAAAGTTATCTCAATACCGAAAATGGTGGCAACTGCTTTACACTAAAGTGAATCACTGTACATAATCTCTTGGTATTTAAGTGTTTTCCTACACAAAGAATCAAAGATAGTTTTGGACCACCATTTTGGTATTCAACAACACTAAAATTTACGAGTTCAGTAAGATATGATACACATAGGAGTCGGTAAAGTTATTTTTATGATACAAAAAGTAAGAATCATTAATTTAGGTTGCATATGTATGTTTTCGTGAATAACCAAAATCAAGAGAATGTCGACTTTCACTGGTAAATGTCAACAATCACATAGTCGTGTTGGTGATTGTCCGAAATATTTCTTATATCCGATTTTAAATTAACTTATTCGTTTGTATTATTGTATTAATTCGATATTTTAATATCTGATGAAAATAGTTTTGGGGAAACATCAGTGTTTGGAGTACCGATTAAATGCATTCTAGGAAGTGGCACTTGACCTTAAAAAAACTTTGATATAGGGCATACCGGAGAAATGTATACCGAGTAAAGGCAATAAACTAGACCTAGTTTATAATTCGGACATTTACCAAACTGACTATGTGACTGCTAACTTCAAAATCACCAATTTCCGTCATTCATTGCAACATATATATATATATATATCAGGTTGAGTAAAAGGTTTTCCGGTAAGGGGAGATATCTCCGTGCCAGCAGCAGCCATTCTCGTGGTAGTTAACCTTTTTTGAAACGGGCTTTTGCATTTTAAAGCTGAAAGTTGGAACTACACAACTGAGTAATTTGTTTGTCAAAACTTTATCATCTTGTGCACCAAAAAAGTGTTTAAAATGGCGCTATCACGTAAGAAGATCAGAACGATTGTGTACTATGAGTTCCGAAATAAACTCAGTGCAACTGAATGACACAAGAAAATGTGTGAAAGTTTAGGTTTCAATACTGTTTCTTATGATACAGTAAAAGTTTGGTTTCGAAAGTTTAATAGTGGGAATTTCAACATTGAAGATGAACCACGTTCTGGCCGCCCTATTGAGGTTGATTGTGACCAATTAAAGCAAATTATTGATCTAGACAGAAATGTTTTAGCACGAACCATTGCGTTAGAGCTTGATGTTTGCCAAAAAACAATAGTAAATGCCTTCAAACGCATAAATCTAGCATTTAAGTTTAATCGCTGGGTGCCTCTCGAATTGACTGCTGAAGACAAGAGCAAAAGAAAAGCGGCCTGTTTGGTTCTGCTCAGAGATCAAAGAAAAGAGAACATTCTGGACAGAATTGTGACCTGTGATGAAAAATGGGTATACTACAACAATACTAGCCGTAAAGGAGGGTGGTCAGCACTCGGGGAATCAGCAGGTTCGGTTGCAAGACTAACGCTAACTAACAAGAAGGTCCTTCTCTGTATCTGGTGGGATTGTCGTGGAATTATCTACAAGGAGTACCTAAAAAGCGGACAGGCTATCAACAGTACAATATACAGGAATATGCTAATCAAAGTTAGCGATGCCATTCGCGAAAAACGAAAAAACGAGTTCAGAAGGAAGGTGGTTCTCTTTCATCAAGATAACGCCCGATCACATGTCAGTGCAATGACCGGATGGACCCTCTACACGCTGGAGTGGGACTTGATGCAACATCCACCATACAGCCCAGACACGGCGCCATCGGATTACTATCTGTTTTCACATCTGCAGCTGCATCCTGATGGCACAATCTTCCGTTCAAATGACGAGGTCATAAATGAGGTTGATCGCTTTCTGGACTCGCCCACCCCCAGTTCTTCGCAGAAGGGATTGAAAAGTTGCCAAAACGTTGGCAGACTATCGTTGATTTGAATGGAGATTACTATCCTCATTAGCTTTGCTGATTTTCTATGTATTTATCATTTTACAGGATTGTTTTTTTTTTTGGCGGAAAACTTTTTACTCAACCCGATATATATATATAACGTTCATAGCATTTGTTTTCATTTCCATGAAAACCATTATTCAGCTTCTTATCAAAAATAAACATAGAAACTAAGACTAAACTCCAGAAGTGCAAATTCAACCTTGACCTTAAAAAACGAGGATGTAGGCACTTAATTGAACTTTTAGTTTGTCCATGGTAAGAACTCCCCCCGCCACAAAGTCTGAGGCCGTCTGCTGCTACGAAAACTAGAATAGCACATTCCAGTGCGGAATAGCTTCTATTCTCTTTAGGGCTAACACAATAGACCGGAGAAAAAAGGTTCCTTTTCTCTGGCCGACCAGAGCCAAAACCTGTCCTAAACAGTGACCCCACACCCCTATGTAAAATAGTTATACCTCATTACCATAGTCATAGGTGCAAACGAAAGTCTAGGGGAATTCTTACTTTAGACGAACTGTAGTAAATATTTCGGACTCTTACTAGCAAATATATAATTGTCAACATTCACCGGTGGAAGTTAACAACCACAAATTTCAGACATTCACAGTATACTAATTTTTAAAAAAAAAATTTTTTTGCAAATTGGACTTGCACACAGCAAGAGGAACATTTAGATGAACTCAAACTAGGCTGACTGACTAGCTAGACGAATGAAATTGAAATATTATAAAATTAACCATAAATGTAAAATTACAAGTGCTCCATCAATTATGTTCTTGAATTATTTTAACATAAACTCTTTTTATTTTGAAAATATTAAATAATTATAAATAAAAATATATCAAACTGAAATTTATCCAATAACTTAAATTGTTAGACTATTAAAAATAAAAATACAAAAACACTTAACAATGATCTCATTCTTTATATGTAGAATCAGTTTTCATTTTCTTTCATTTTTACTCTTCTTCTCCCAAAAGTAAAGGACCACAAAAAAATAGTTTTAGAGCTATCTGTATTCCAAGTTTATTTTAATATGAATAAGACCGATATTTGAAACTGTTGTTTTGTTTGATGCTTAACTGTATAGACTAGTATGTTGACCTATTAAATTATTAAAACATTATAAAATAACAGGTAATTAAGAAATTAATTTTAATAACTGTACTGAATACTGATAGTAACTCAACTAAACCGATAAATTGATTGATTTAAGAAATTATAACTCATTTAATCAAACATTTATGTATATATTTCGTAAATTATAATTAGATTACTTATAAGGTAATATATTATATTCATGATTTACAGAATATATTCCTGCACATATAAGCAGGAGTGCAGAAAAATCTCTGCCCCTAATATATTTTATCGNGACCTAGTTTAAAATTCGGACATTTACCAAACAGACTATGTGACTGCCAACTTCAAAATTACCAATTTCCGTCATTCATAGCAACATATATCTATAACGTTTATAGCATTTGTTTTCATTTCCATGAAAACCATTATTCTGCTTCATATCAAAAATAAATATATAAATTAAGATTAAACCCCCGTAGTGCAAATTCAACCTTGACCTTAAAAAAACATGGATGTAGGCACTTTAGTTTGTCTATGGTAAGAACTCCTCCCGTGACGAAGTCTGAGGCTGTCTGCTGCTACGAAAACTAGAATAGCGCATTTCAGTGCGGAATAGCTTCTATTCTCTTTAGGGCTGACATAATAGACCGAAGAAAAAAAGATTAATTTTCCCTGGCCGACCAGAGCCAAAACCTGTCCTAAGCAGTGACCCCACACCTCTACGTACAATAGTTATATCTCGTTACCATAGTCACCGTCATGGGTGCAAAATAATTTCCATAGACTTTTAACTGATCATGATAAAATAACTAGTGGATGATGAAGAATTTTTTTTCTTGATTACATTAGCCACCACAAAAACAATTTATACACACTTTTTAAGCTATTCAATATTAAGTGGCTCATTTTATTTTTAAATCAATAATTACTTTATTTAATTTTATAAAAAAATTAATTCAAAATTGTAATTTAACTATTATTTTGAAAATGTTATCGAATGTGTCTTTTAGATTAAAATAAAAGTTATTTATAAAAGCATATTCAACGAAACATTAACAAGATTAATATTATTGATCATACCGAATTTGTGTAAACATATGTAAAAAATTATGCAAACTAAGATAACTATAATAAATTCATATTACATACGTAAATTAGTGCATGGACCCTAAAAATATTCATTTTTGTTATTTGGTTCAGTATTTCTTCAACACTAGAAAGACTGAAACTTAGTATACACCTAGATTGCCCAAAAGTAGTCAAAATAACTGGATTGTTAAAGAATAACTAATGTTGAAAGAGAAATTTGTTTAAAATTAATTTTTAATTTTTTTTTATATAATTTACAGTTATATAACAAGTTATTAGTAAATATTAACAATAAAAAAATTATACGCTGTACAAAAAGTCACAAAATTCTAAGAAATTGTGTCATTATATTCATCATTGTTTTTCTAATTGAAATTAAAAAGCAATCAAAATGACTTCCTTAATGAAATGATTGAAAATATTTTTTAGTAATTTTGATATGTAAATATAATGAGTTTAGAAGCTAAGCATTTTTGTTAGAAGTAAATTATTACATGGTTCCTGCATTCCTAATATTTAACAAATATGATTTAATTGAATTTTTGGACTACAATTGTTTACAAATAAAATCATTAAGAGAGTAATTAAAGTTTTTTGGAATAACAAATCTGAATTTGTTTACATACCTAAACGTTGGATCTTTTTTGCTGCATTTAAAATATTAAAAACTCCTCAATTCAAACTTTTTTTAAAATATTACATCTAGTTATTATTGAGTTCTCATAAAACTACTTAAAAATACTGAAAATTTTGGAAGTAATACTACCATAATTGATAAAAATACAATTCACTACAAAATCACAGGTTATCCATTGACAAAATGGCTGTTGTCTAATTTTTTTGGGCAAGTAAACTTCACTGTGTTTTCATCTTGGACATCTTTAACTGTTAATCCTGAACTGCTCTGTATACAATTTTGCAGATATATTTAAATGTAGCTCAGAAACATTCTGTGTAAATTCTTTTCATGACTGAATAGACAATGAACAATCGAGATCATTATTAATATTTTCGGATTTGTGTTTGATGGAGATTGTAAGCTGCATCATGCACCCGCTTCGGATTCACAAGTTCTTACATGAAATATGACTTGAAATCTAGGCTTTTTTTCAATTTCACATGAATAGTGAATGAATCATTTATATTGCGTGGAAGACACTCTACGGTCTTGTGCAAGTTATTGGGTACGTTGACAATGGATCTTTTTCTTCCTAACGGGTGATCAACACGAATTCTCGTGTTTGCATGAACGGGGTTCGTAGAATCACCGTTCCCTCTTCGGTAGGGTTCAATTCTCTCAACCACTTTGGTACTTTCGTGAGAGACGGGCTTCATGCTTACGTTTGCGAAAGGAATCCTTCGCTTTCCCGTTTTTGTGTAACGTTTAAGGTATTCCCGTCTACGTTCTTTGGCTTTGGCTGTTCCAGCCTCGGTAAGTTTAGGATTTTTCTGATCCCATATCTCAAAAACAAAATCACCAACTTAACGCATAACAAAATTAAAAGTGAACAAGAGAATTGAAAAAAATATATCAGACAGCAACGGTTGCCATAGCAACGCATACGCACTGTTTACTATTACTCTTGATTATTGTAGTTATTATTGTAGTAAATATTAATCTTAAAATTCTCAATTAATTCTTAAATTTAATGAATAAAAGAAAGATGGAAATTCTTAGGTGATGAAGCTTTTGGATTTTTCAGTGCTCTGGAGACCCACATGAAACCACTTAATTAGTGAATGATCCCCAAGTCAAGTTCCAAGATAAGGATACTGAACTATAAACAGAATATCGCGGGAAGGCCATTTGCCTTCCAATAGCGAAGACGATGGAGCGTCACCAACTGTGAAATTAACAAGAGAAATAAAATTTTCTATCGGTATTGAGGAAAAAATTTGAAAATGTTTAGTTGGTTCGCGTTATCTGCAAAAGTTCGAGAGATTTTTTGCGGTTTGATTCCTAAGGGCGGAAATTGAAGTCTGAAAATGAGAATCTTTTGCAAAATACAGCAAAGTTGTACATGAGAGGGCAAAAATCCCTCCTACCGAATACAGCTCAGTATACGCACATGCGGACCCCCAAGTACTTCATCAAACATGTACGGTTTTTTTCATACACTACGGTCCAACGGTACGCCGAAGTAGATGGGAGTTGAATTAATTTTGAAAACGTTGCATGGAACAATGTCTTTTTTCATAATTCATGACGAAAATCAACATGGTAAAGAAGAAATATCTTATTTTGGAAAAGGGAAAATTAAGCCCTTCTTAAAAACTTCCATAATAAATAATGGGCTGTGTGAATACGTCCATAATAACTAGCGCAACAATTTAAAGCTTTCTTCTAAAATAAACAAAGGTCAGCAAAATTCATGGCAAACTTTGGTTAAGATTTTTTGAAGCTATGGTATACAAATATTTATAGTAATTAATTATTTAAAAAGATATTAATGTGTTCTTACATAGAGTAAAAAACTGCCTATAAACTATTCACACAATTTAAAAACATTAACAAGAGGATACATTTCGCTTCAGACAAAAAAAAATTTCTTACAGTGGTTAGAACTAGCGCACTATAAGTGAAACTACTATAGTCGCAACCTTTTCTGTAGTTTGTAGAGTAGTGTAAACGAGTAGTGTAACGATAAAAATAGTAGCAACTATTTTTATCGTTAGTTGAGAAAAGAAGTACGGTTCTAACGGATTTAATTTCTCGAATTTGATTGGTGCAAATCGTCCGTCAATGGATGCAATGAAAATGTGGCTGCAGCTGAGCTTTCACAGAGATTACGTATTTAAAATCACGTGTAACTAGCATTTAAAATAGCACACTTTTCACATACGAATGCGCACTTATAAAACACTCATGTTATTTCAAAGAAGCGGAACGTATTTTTTGTGTACTTAGTTTCTAAGAGTAAATGAAAAAGCATTAAACAATTGAAAAGACGTAATTATTTGATGATTTCGCATTTCTTAAATTAAATATTCGATGTCGAAATAGGCCTAAAAAGTTGAAGTTAAATGAATAAATTCAAATTAGAAAAATATTTTATAAAAACAAACTCACTCTTGTCAACATAAATATATCTTAATTATTCCCTTATATTTAATGTGAGCCAATTTGTTATTCAAAACAATTTTGAAGGTTTAAATTAAGTTCTCCGGCAAAGTTATCTCCTTATGGTAGTGAAGTAGTTACTAAATTCTGAATTAGTTTGTAGTCACTACATTTAAAAAAAAAGTAATTGTAGTTGCAGTTAACTGCATTTGTAACACAGTAATTGTTATAAACTACAAAAATAATGCAATTTTTCCGACCACTAATCTTAAATATAATATTTCAATTAATTAGCTCTAATATCGAANATGTACTTAGTTTCTAAGAGGAAATGAAAAAGCATTAAACAATTGAAAAGACGTAATTATTTGATGATTTCGCATTTGTTAAATTAAATATTCGATGTCGAAATAGGCCTAAGAAGTTGAAGGTTAAACGAATAAATTCAAATTAAAAAAAATATTTTGGAAAAACAAACTCACTCTTGTGAACATAAATATATCTTAATTATTCCCTTATATTTAATGTGATCCAATTTGTTATTCAAAACAATTTTGAACACATGTTTAAATTAAGTTATCCGGCAAAGTTCATCTCCTTAAAGTAGTGAAGTAGTTACTAAATTCTGAATTAGTTTGTAGTCCCTACATTAAAATAAAAGTAATTGTAGTTGCAGTTAACTACATTTGTAACACAGTAATTGCACTTGTTGTAAACTGCAAAAGAATGTAGTTTTTCCGACCACTAATCTTAAATATAATATTTGAGTTAATTAGTTCTAATATCGAATCAATTCTTCAAAAAGATAATTTTTCAACGTAACTCAAAATATTTTTTTTACACTAATAATTATAGGAACTTCTGAGTTTTAAAATGCTGAGTATTTCAATATTTGTGTGCTTTTTTATCAAAATTTTTGAGAGTTAAGAATACGTACCGAAAGCTTTCTGAAGTCACAGATGCCTGCGATCCGGAAGCAAGGAGTTTTCACACTGAGTAGACCACTGCCGCAACTGTTGCCACTCAATCATAAGAATAATAACTCATAGAACTTCTTCTAAAACCTAGAAATGTACAAACACTTTGTTGCAATATTAAACATACTACTTTAAAAAACATTTACCTTATTCCAACTATTATTTTTCATTGGAAAGCAATTTAAAAACTAAGTATTGACAACTTTTTTTTAAAATTCAATATTGAAAATAAACATGGAGCTATCATGGTTTTGCCTTTCATTCGAATTGTGTGTGGAAATGTCATTTATGTTTTTTGAATTATATTGATTGAAATAATTAATTAAATTACGATTTTTCCAAAGTTATTATTTTTTTTACAACTGAACGGGTACTGAGCATTGAAACAATAGGAATTTGGAGGATTGAACAAATTTTTTTGTTGTACATTATGAACATATTCTCCAGGTACTAGAGAATTTCTGTATTTTAAGAAGATATTTTTCGTTCTTAATAGTAGCAAAATTTTGTATTAACGCTCTAAATACAGGGGTTGGACAAAATAATGTAAACACTTAGATACTAACACATTTTTTGATATTGCTCAAAAAATATTTTAAGAATCAGTTCATAAATTTAGAAGTGATTAGATTGTGCGATTTCTCATACATATAAATGAAGTTTAAACTTTTTGAGGTTTGTGGGATTGACAATAAATTAAAAACTAAACTCAGTGGCATGACAGCCCATAAAGGGCCAAGGCCTAATGTGCCCATCTCAGTTTTCCTAACCTTGGGCTCTGTGGTGCAGGAGCAGATGTTCCGGTTAGGTGGTCAGCCGAATGCGGAACCCCCAGTGTTTAGTTCCCAAGCATGCTTGGTACTCATTTTACCGACCCACTGAAGGGATGAAAGGCTGTGTCGACCTTGCTCGGCCCGAGGATAGAACCCAGGACCTGTGGCACAAGAGCGCGAAGCGCTACCATTCAGCCACCGGGCGTTTGACAATAAATTAGGAAAGGAACAATAAAACTTTTTGTACACCCTATTGTACGCTAAAAATGTAGTAATAAATTTGTCCACCTCGACATATGAACAACTTAAACAGATATATGTACCGTGCTCAAAAATACAACCTGAACAACTTTCGCTCTAATGATCGGATTTTTACGAAGTAAGTATCTTTCCATTGGTTTTCCGTTAAGAGTTCCAATCTGAATGGGTGACTTCAACTTCGCTAATTAAGTAGTGATAACTATTAATTAGTAATTAGTGCTAACTATTAATTAAGTTACTAAATCAAACACTAAAATGTAATTCTCGAAATGAAAGTGAATTTTTTTTTTACAGAAATGGATTTTTCACTTTTAAAATCTGGGGGTTAGCCGCAATCTAGAAATTGTGGTCCTTTAGTACACTACAATATACTAACTAGATACTATTTTTCATAGTAGTTTTATTTAGAACATAAAGTCTTTAAAGTTTTTAACACAATTTAATTAATAGAACACTAAACAATTCCTAATAGCTTAATATCAATATATAGAAAATTCCTATAGTAATGTTGCATTAAAAAATAAACAGCATCAGTTAGTCAACATTCCTTTGTAATAGATATCATATTTGATTAAGATCTTTAATATATTTCAAGAATTTCTTAGTCAAACTATATAAAAGTAGGATTTCAATAATATGAAAGAAAAAAATAAATGATGAGAAAAAATAAATTGTAAATTGGTAAATGAACTCCCAATTCACCATTTAAAAATTCCATGATATGATTCTGTATTGATAGTAACCATAATAAGAAATCAAAATAATAGAGCAATTAGAAACTACACTTTAAAGTATTTTTAAAGTATTAAAGGTTTTAATCTTTAAAAATCATGGGAGTTTTGTTCTTTGTTTAGGTTTTGAGTTAATTTTTGTCTAATTGATTCTTTGCTGTTCAGGTTAAATTTAATTTTATGCAAAGTACTATTCATAATTATTTCATAGCGCATGACTCGTCGTGCGCCAAAACAAGGAGCACTGACTGTTAATCTTGACTTGAAGATTACTTTGGATAAAAAGATACTAAGTCAAATTTTGAGTTTAAATAAATTAAAAAATATTAAAAAATTTAAAAAAATTTAAAAATAAAAATTGCAAATCTTATTCTTTAGCTGACAATTCACAAATTGATTGCCTTTCCAATGTATTTTTTTTTGTAAATACTTTACTACAATTTATTTAATTCAATGTAATTGTTGCAATTTGTGCTATATTGCACAAACCAGTTTAGAATTTCATAAGAAAATTAATTCTCACTGATTTGTTATAAAAAATGTTAATAATAATATTAATGGTACTTCAGATTATTAAATTTTACATTTTCAATTTCATAATTTTGATATTGTTGCTCTTTTTATTTTGGATTTTATGGAAAATGAAGATAATAGGCTTGATTTAGAAAATATTTATATTAGCAGTATTAAAACTCTTTTTCCTTAAGGTTTGAATAGTAAGTGGGGAAAGTACTATTAATATTGATGATTTTTGTATTTATCATAAATTTAAAGTTTTTAATTTTCCTAGATCTTTTTATTCAAAGTATAGATATAAAAGTATAGATAGGTAAAAAGGTTAATAAATCTATTAATTTTGATGAATTTTTGAAAATTTTTAATTTTTGTGTTTACCTGACTCATATTTTTATTACTAGGAAATATATTTTTGGATTTAAAGATAAAATTCTTAAAAATTTCTTTTTTAAATTTGGGAATAAAATAAAATTTGATACTGCATTGTTTTGAATTTGGTTAAATCAAAACTTGGTGTTGATAAAACTGATATGCTTTTTGGAAAAGTTTTAATTGTTCAGAAGTTTTTTTGTACTATTAACTTTCATGATAAAGAATTTGAAATTGCAAGGACATCACAGGTTTTTCATTGTTTTTCTGATATTCATCCTTTAAAACAATGCTTATAAATATTCCTCTACTCTTAGAAAAAAGGTATGTAATTATTATTTAAGTCGGAATTTAAATTGTATTTCAACGTCTGATTGTTTTTGCAATAAAGACGAATTTTCTCAATATATTGATGAAGATTATGGTTATGTTATTACCGAAAATTTAGAGATCGTTAGAGATCAAGATTTGATTAGTATTTTGAGTTGAGGTTCAAAATTCAGAACAAGGTTTAAAATGAAAAATGATGATTTTATTTTATCGGCTAAAAGAGATCTTGATTTTTTTTATAGCTGAAATTTCTAGGAAATATCATTGGTCCCTTTGAGTGTTTTACAGAATAGAATGGAAGACAGAAATTGTGGAAAAAGTTAAATATTATTCATTTAATTCCAAATTCAAAAATTCGTATTTATTCTAGTGGTACCGTTATCAATTATGATTTGCTTGAAGAGATAAAAATGCTTAAGAATAAGCTTAATATTACAGTTGTTGATAAAGTATCTAATAACTTTTGTATCAAGCGTAAATATTTTTTTAAAAAATTAATTATTGGAGAATATAATGCTAATAATACTTATTTCAAATTTTATTGAAAAGGATTATTGCTTTTAGTAAAATATTAAAATTTAAATTGAATAGAATTACTTTTCCATATTTATTTCCTATTGCTAAATTTCATAAAAATCCTGTAAAATTTAAATTTATTGCGTGTGGTAAAAATTGTTATAATTCTAGTATCAGTAAAAAGTTTAATATTCTTAAAACTATTTTGCTTAAAATTAAAGGTGAGAAAAGTATTGTTTAGTAACGTTGATGTTTGAAATTTTATTAACAAAAACGTTGTTTCTTATATTAATAACTTTTAATTTTGAAAACCTTTATACCAGTATACCTCATGCATAAATATTTGATATTTGTAGTTGCTTTTATGTTAAATATTTATTTAATGAAAATATTGATAAATCTTATTGGTTAGAAATTTGTAAATTTAATCTTTTTGAAGATGTTCCTTTTACGGTCTTGATTTTTATAAACAAAATATAGGAACTTCACAAGGTAATTCTTTTTCTGGAGCTTTTGCTAATATTTTTTTACTTTTTTTGAAGCCAAATTTTTTGAGTTTAATGATTTTAAGACTTTTAGGTATATTAATGATTCAATTTTATTTAATTGTGATAATTATGATTTCATTTTTAATATATATCTTAAGGATTTGGTTTTGAAGCAGACTACTGAAAATTGCTTAAATGTTGAATATTTAGATTTTAAATTCGATATTGTTAATAAATAAATTAAAATTGGTGCTTATGATAAAAGGTAGGCTTTAAAGTTCATTTTTTTTCAGTAATTTTAAAACTAATTTGTGCAGTAAAATTTTCAAAAGTTTAGTTTTTTCTCAATCTTATAAAATTAATAAAATTTGCAATAATGTCGGGAGCTTTCAAGAGGCAACAAGTAATTTTTTGAAAAATTTGAAAAAGTAACATTTGATTTCCTTTATAATAAAAAATTATTGATTATAGTAAAATTTAGTTTTACTTTTAATTTCTGAAATATTTAATTTAAAATTGAAGAAAAAAGATTGAAAACTATTAGTTTCGTTTTTTCTTTTAATAGGGCATGATGAAGTCTTGACAGAGTTGCTCCGGTCAAGCATTTCTTTCAATAATGAGGGCGACTTTTTAATTCCTTCTACGCATTAAATTTGGGAGCGTTGTTTTTTCGCTTATTTCAAATTAGTTGATGCTTGGTAGTCAGTTGTGTACTTTGGTTTTGGGNCGCATTAAATTTGGGAGCGTTGTTTTTTCCTTTATTTCAAATTAGTTGATGCTTGGTAGTCAGTTGTGTACTTTGGTTTTGGGATTTATTTTCAAGTAAGTTTTTGTGCATTGCATGCTTATGTATTAGTTTAGATTTTGTACTTTTGTATTTTGTTTTTGTAATTTTATTTATTTTCTCTACCTGGACTTGGGCAAAATCCAGGGAGTTGGGTTCAGAGAGAGCAACTTAGACATTTGTCGATCGAAAAGGTTTTGCAATTACGACTTCCGGGGCTGGTACCCCCTGACTACGTAAGCTTCGACTGTCATATTTTTCATTATTTTTAATTGTTTTTCTTTATTTATTCTTTTGGTTTTTTATAGTAACCAATCATTTTAAAATCATAAGAAACGATAGCTGCGAAACTACTAAATTCAGCCTTCCCCAAGTCAAAA